GGAAATCGGGGGATAATGAAATTTTGGGATTAATATATTAATACTAAAAATCATATTATTGATACATCAACTCAAATAGACGAGTGGTTTAAGATATATGTGAAAGATAAACTTTTAAACGAATTATCGGAATTTGCTGAAAAGATCGGGATTTGCGTTAAATAAAATTATTTCCTTAGTTGTTAATATCAGTAAATATCAATTTGGGAAACGGTTATCTATATATTAGACTACCAGAACCGATTATAAGGAAAAATGCTTGTATAAACATTAAAAATATAGATCAAAATTGCTTTTACTGGGCCATTGTAAGCGCTCTTCGGACTCCTAGCAAAAAAAGACATGCAGACTAACCTCCTCATATCCACACGTTTACTGACGTTTTACAAAACAGAAAATTTAGATAGTCCTATGCTGCTAACAAAAATTTCAAAATTTGAAAAGATGAATAACATTTCAGTCAATGTTTACGCTTTAGAATTGATCGAAACAGAAAAAAAATCATTTTACATAGTAGTACCAGCAAGATTAACGGAAAATAAACGGGATACGCATGTTAATTTACTTTTAGCTCAAAATAAATATTATCCGCGTTTAAATGATTATGATGCTCCTCCACCAGCGCCAGCAAATGAAGATAATGATTCAATCGATGAAATTAAATATCACTATTGTTGGATTAAAAATCTTTCGCGTCTTATTAGTAGCCAGTTAAATAAACATCGTGAGAAAAAATTTATTTGCGATAGATGTCTGAACTATTTCCATCAGCAAAATAAATTAGTTGAACATGAAAAACTGTGTTCTAAATTTAATAAATATAAAATTAACCTTCCTAAAGAGAGCTGCGTTGAATTTAAAAACTTTACATACCAAAAATACTCCTTTTGTTGTTTATGCAGATTTTGAATGTCAATTAGAAAATCATAAAGAAAGTAGCGTCGTAAATTTAACTAAAACCATAAAATATCAAAAACACGTTCCGTATAGTGCTGGTTTCTATGTAAAATGCAGCTATGATGATAGCCTTTCTTATTTCGCGAGCTTTCGAGGTGCAGATTGTATGGATTGGTTTGCAAATCGTATGGCTGTGTTGCGC